TATAGCTGCAAAAGCTAATTACTTAAGTTAAAGTGAATACAGTGGATATTGTTTGGGTCTAAGAAATCATATGCAAGCATATTTACATCTAATCATAAAGTGGTTTAGTGCTTGTAATAGAACTCATTAAAAATAATGTTGAGTACTCTAGAATACAGTGCAGTAAGCTTGTTTTTAACCATTAAGCAATAGTAGAGACTTATGTGCTGTCCTTTGCAGTTCTGCTAGTAGCAATAAAATAATACTAGTTTATTTACTTACAGAGGTTATTATTTTATTTAAAAATACAAGATAGGCTTAATGTTATGTGACATTTTCTTTAAAAAGGTCTAATTAAAACAAACAACATATTGCTTTGACAGCTAAAAATTTACAAGAAGTTTTGTTTCTTCACAAAATCAAGGATTCTTGCCTAATTCTTGCCCACTCAGAACATCAATATAGGATCATACCTCTGCAAATCATTTTCCACCAGAGAAATCATAACCTTTGAAATCCTAAATTCTAATCATATCATCAGAAGGTATTCTTATGAGGGAAAGTTTTCAGGACTGGAGAAGGCGAGTGAGAAAATCTAGCTGGTCTTTCTGACAGTGGATTCATGCACATTAAAAACTCAGCAAATTGAATCTTTCATTTGATCAAACTACAAGGGCAGTATTTTGCAGCCAGCTTGTATGTATGAACTTTGGGTTCAGCAATTTGCCACTGCACCCGAAAAATACGACTAGGTTGGTTGTTTGGGGTTTTTTTGAGTTAAATTGCACAATCCTTAGGCAGACAAATTTCCCATAGGAACTGTGTTTACATAAGGACTGTAGGATTTTGTGCAGAACTCCTTGTAAAGGTGACCACCCTTAACTTCTAGAACTAAAGAAGAGTGTTTGTTACCTTTTAGTAACAGGTGGTAAATACAACCTTGAATTCAGACTGTGTTAAAGGATCAAGAAAAAATAACCACTCAGGCCACCTGTTATTAAGGAAAGACAATTCTCTAATAACATCCTCCCTTCCTGGTTAAAGAAAATTGTGTCTGAGGAAGCTGCTCTGCCAGCCTAATTAAACCAATTCAGATTTTGTCAGCCTGCTTCAGCCTGCTTCCATAAGGAACTGCTTACTGAATGGGTACTTGAAGCTCCTCTCTGATAACAAAGCTGTCTAAAAACTGCATCACAGGACTTGTGGGGAAAAGGCAGGTATTATATCCCTCACTGACACAACACACGGATATTTCCAGTTTTGGCTCAAAACATGTGAGTATGCACATGTATGAATGCTGTAAAAACTATGGAGAATCTTTGAAAGTATCTGTAAATGTGTATCTCTTGAAATTACTAGATCATGTACCAATCATCAGATTAGTTCCACTAAACTAAAGCTTAAGTATCCTATGACAATTGATGATCTGCAGGACACTTAAGGTTGGCTTAATGGAACTAATTTTAAGGTTTGCTAATAATGTCATTCTAATCTAGTGTATGTTGGCTGGAATTCTTTCTGGTTTAAGATTATTTTAAAATCCCAAATGTAAGGTTAATGGGGTGTTATCAGTGTAATCTCAGAGAAAGAGAGAGAGAGGAAAACTCAGTAAGACGACTCAAGAGAATTGTTGTAACTCAGCATATTTTCCAGTGTATTCCCACTTATGCTAGGACTGTTGCTGGAGCTAATGAGGCTTGAGAAGTTAGCACTGTCAAATCACAATGGAGTCCAGAGATTTTCAGAAAAACCTTTCTCTAACAAAGCTTTGAAAGCTGAACACTTGGCATACTGAGAGGAGCAATGATTCACATTGCACACCACACAACATATTGCTGAATATTCATATGCTACAGAATTAGGACCATGTACTTGATATCGAAGAATGAATTGGAATATTTTGAACATCACTCAGAAAGACAGAAATATCTTTTAGTATTCATAGAAACAGGCAATACCTATAGAATAAGCCATCTCCTACGACAAGTCAATGGGAAACAGAACTGTCAATTTATGGCGTGCTTCCTCCAAGTAAAGCTACAGTGATAACCAGAGGATATTTTAGTAAAACAGTTGAATTATCCACTTCCCTTCTTCAGTGGAGCAGAAGACTAGGATTTAAGGCACATTAGTCAGCATGCTACTGTATTGATCCTACTGAGTGATGATTCTGTTTTGGACACACGCTGTGAGTTTTCTGCTGCAATAAAAGGAGATTTACTGGAGGATGATTTTCCCAGAATCAAGGTGATGATTTTAAAAAATATTGATCATGTTGAATTCTATCTAGTTGTAGTTTGGTTTTTAGTTCAGACAGAGTCAGTGCAGGATTTAGCTGTGGAACTGGGAAAGCTTAACATGATGAACTGATGTTTGTGCAGACACACAACTGTGTAAGTTTTTTGTCTTTTTAATAAGCTCTTTGTCCTTGAATGTTACATGCAGCTCGGTAGGGAATCTGGGTGCAAGCAGCTACCAGGATCAAACTCACCACTATATGATAGTTGTTTAACACATGTGGTATGCTTCAGTACAGAATCTTTAAACAAAACAGTTCTAGCTTGCGGCTGTTACTACACAGACTGTATGCAGATAAGTCACAAATAGCTGAGCATATGTGTGGTACAAGGTTAAAACAATAACAAGCAGGTCGAATCATTCAAACACTGGAAATCACTTTGACTCCAGGCCAAAAGCTTAGCTTGAGATGATATCAGTATGGGATAAAAAGAGGATAAACTAACAGGCTTAGCAGCCAGCTTGTTGGAGTCAGCGTATAGTATCTATACTTCCAGCAGGAGAGCAGATGGTCATATATTTAAGGAAGCACCAGACAGGGAGTCAGGAGATCTGAATTCTATTCCTGGCTCTGCAGCAGTGTTCCTATGTCACCTTGGGGAGTCACTTTTTTCCCCTTTTTTCTTAATCTTTTAAGTAGTGGAAATACTATTTATTTGTCTCACAGGGCAGCTGAGAGGCTAAACTGATGCAGAAAAATGCTCTGAAGCTCTAGGAAGAACGTATGGAAGAACTGCAAAGTAAACTTGTTAGGAAGAAAGGACACCACATGGTTTCATATGGCATGTTTGCACCGTATGTTTACAACCTTTCCTCTCCTCAGAATGTCCCATGCTTTTTTGCACACAGTTTACTAGAGGGAATAAATGGATTAAGCTGCCTTCCACATTTGCTAGAAAGATAAGCAGCTGCCAGTAAGAACCTGACCAAAGAACAGACTTTACTACTGAGAGAGACATTATTTATGTGCTAGAGGGCAATAGGCTTGTTCAAGTTAAATGTTTGTCCCAAGATATTTTTGCATTGGTGGTAGAACAATGTCTCTAATGGCTTTTATTCTGAATTCAGCAGTGCTGCTTGCAAGCTGAATTTTAAGTACATACTTAAGTATTGTATTTTATGGACAAATCTTCTGCTTAAGTCCCAAACCAACTCCATTTTTCAAATCAGTGAGAAATGTCCATGATTATTTGCACAGGACTTTCATCTAAAGCCCATTAAAATCAACTAGACTTCAAAGGAATTTGAATCAAAGATCTAGCAAGCCACTGTCATTTCTTCTGAATCCTATGCCCATTAAGCAAAATGTCCCTATATATCTTCATAACTATTTGGCATCATAGAAGTAATGTTTTCACCACAAAACAAATAGCTTCTGCTTTCAATATGGAGGTGTAAGCTTTGGGTTGGAGTTGAATTTTAGTACATAGCATGATTTGTTCCATTTGTGCATATCTTTTTTGCAAGAGAAAAAAAAAAAGAAAAGATGAAGCCTTTTGTTTTTTTCCTCTATGACTTCATTTTTCTTGTTCCCAGATTCTAAGTCCATGTCAAGGGACTGAGCCCCAGTTCAAAGCCAGCGCTGGTAAAAGGGCACAGACAACACTGCAGAAGACTGCAAAACATTCGCCCACCTCATAGCAGTGGTGGGAGGCAAAGGAAGCCAAAGCAAAGGTCATGTGGGCAGAAGTCCTGAATGTCAATATCAAACATGGTCTTCCAACATGAGTTCGTTTTTTTGATTCCTCACAAATGGAGCTGCCTCTAATCCTCTAAACTGGACTTCCTTCAGTTCTGGAACTGTGGGTTGGATATCTACATGGAGGGAAGTATTCACCATTTTCAGGGTCAGACTCAGTTTACTGGACTCTTTTCACTCAAAATCCATTCAGTTTTCTGCATTGAATCACCATGGAATAGCTTTAATCCAAGGAAGAAGCTGAGTGAAACAATTTCCTTCTGAAGAACCATGCTGTATGTCTAACTGTAGTTTGTTAAGGAAGAAATTAAACTGTTTACTCTTGAAATATGAACTATGCAAGAAATGAAATATTTTTAAATATTTCAGATAGTAACCAGCCCACTGATTTGAGTATATAACAAAAACACTATGACAGTGTAAAGCTGCTAGTCTGTGGCCAGACTGATCTGGTCCTACTGAAAGTGGTACAGATGAGACTATGATGTCCCTGTCTTTCCCTTCTACAGGCATGTTGGTTGTTTTTTTCATGTCCTCTTTTTGGCTAGGCAAGTGACAGAATCGCAGTTAAGAGGTCAAAGAAGTGCTTCAAAAAGACACAAACACAGGAAGACAGCGAGGATAGAGCATGTTTTATCATTGTTCTCTTGTTCTTCTCATCCCTATGATTTTTATTTATATGCTAATCTTCACTAATCACCATGGACCTTGCAGCTGACACTTTCTCCAATGACTGTCAACTTTGTCACATAACATTTTCAGAGATTTCAAGGTGACATATAGAAAAATCCTCTTACTTAGAAGTGCTTCAGTGAGAATGTTGCTATCTGTATGAGTTTGTGTTTTGGGGTGTGGAAGAGAGCTTGGAGAATTAAGAAAAAGGAGAACTATTTAAAAGTTAATGATTCAACAAGGGCACGTTCCCTACCAGGATAAGTCTGGTTATATATTATAATTGTACAAATAAATTGTTCAGTCCAGATCTAGCCTCTTCCTCTCTAGTCCTGCACTGTCAGGGCTGGGTTCTTTGCACAAAGATGTGGCTTTTTCTTGGGATCATCTTTTCTCTGGGGATGCTAATTCCTGGAAAACTCAGCTTGAAATTACAACATGATAGGTGAGTGTGAACAGGGTATCATGAAGAATTGTGCATGCAATGAAATTCCCAGGAACTGTGTAGGAATAATAATAACAATTATGAACTGAAAACCTGGAGATAGGGTTACTAAGCCGTAAGCTTTTGTAAGATCTGGAAAGAAAACATGAAGATGGGAAATGAAGAAGAGTGAGCCAAATGCAAGCCAAAAAAGATATGGCTACAGCCATAGGAGACACAGAAAGCCCCTCAAATGCACTTCAGGATGCTCTGCTTCCATTAGCTGAAATTCATTTGGCTTAGCCTCTTTCATAATGAACTTTGAAACCAGATGCTGTAGGAATAAAATGCCTTTTCTGAGTATAAAGCCGGGGGGATGACTGAGCAAAATTGTGATTCTGTAATAAAACCAGGTGAGGTTATGTGAAAGATAGTGCCTCAAAAGCAGCTCAGATACTGAACCCCCATTGGATATTTGTAACAATAACAAAAAGAACCTCATGGAGTTGGTCCAGACAATCTTCACCCCAAGGTACTCAGAGAATGAGATTATCACAGTTTTTATTACTGATTAATGTTTCCAAAAAGTATGAAATGTCTGGTTCTGCTGTATTCTCCATTGTCTGCTTCATAAGAAAATGAGTGATAAAAAAATATGCTGTTTGCCTATCTTAACTATTTTGTTTCATTCATCCTCAACTTTACAAGGAATGATAGGTCACTCTGCCTTTACTGCAGTTGTGATTTGCAGGAGGGGCACAAATATAGTGTGGAGGCCAGCTGTCCACATATAACTTTACACATGGAATTTTCTAAAGTAAACAGAGAAAGTAGCCCAGTGCTGAATGACTCTAGACTAATTATATCCCCAGAATACAGTTTTAAAAAGGAGAGGAGACCAAGCAATACCTGCTGCAAGTTTCCTTCATAGCATACTCATTCAATGACTCTCCTGGCAAAGCTCCTGGCAGATCATACAGAGTCACTACTGCTCTTTTTAAAATACATTATTTCTCTTGAATAATATTTAGTCTTTAGATTTGTATCAGGGACGTAACCAGAGCCTGTTGATTTCACTGAATAGAATTCAACAGGCCCTTGGTAAGGTAGCATTCATTTTTGTTTCTAATTGCTGTCCAGGACTGAATGAGTACTGTTAAGTACTTGCATGGGATTTAAAAACACACTTAATCGAATGGTCAGTTTGACTGTGGGTGGGCAGCACCTGCACAAAGATGAAATGACTAGTAAAGACCATTTTCATTGTCATTTGCTTTGTTCAACAACTTAAATATCTGATCTATGAGCATTCAAGGAAACACAGCTTGTGCTGAGAACAGTCCTTTAATTTGGTAAGAAAGCTGAACTGTAGCTTTTAAAAAACTGTTGTTCTCACATGGTCACATGGGCTGACTTTGCACTTCTCCACTGAGAAACCTAGTCCATAATCATAAATGAGTGTGTGCTTTCTAATCTTAGTTTACTATTAAAAATGATTTGTCTCCACACTGGCTATTGTAAAAGGTTTATCAGTAAATAAGAGCTGGCCATCTGGCAGCAATCTGACTGTCTGGCATTTCTTTCATTTGGTGTAATTAAGACATAATGTCAGTGAGGATAGAAAGATATTACAGGATATTGTTTCCCTTCCTGATAGACAAAGAGCAAAGCAAGCCCAGGCATTTAGAGAGAATAAACTCTGAACTGCAGCTGAGATGTTTATTCTCCTAGCAAAGATGTTTATCCTGCATCTACAAGGTTTATTACAAAGATATCATGGCTGTTGTACCAAATAGTTAGCAATGCAAATGTAATCATTTTGCCCCACAGATGAGGGTCCTATATGCTAACAGCATCTCCTAATCCAGTAGTAAACAGCCCATTTTAACGATCAAGTTCTATGTTTCTCTATGACTAAAGGTGATATTTTCAAGAGAGTTGTAAAAAAACCCAAATCCCCCTATTTTTCAGTGGGTAACGTGAATGAACAGTGAATTCTATTTGCATGTATATTAAGCTGATAATTGCACATTTGTGTATGGAAGCACAAATGACAGCAGTTGCAGTTCAGTTGATGAGAGTATATTATATTGATGACCATAATGACTGTGGCTTTAATAAAAAAACATGCAAGGCTTTTGCAACAAGAATTTCTGTTACAAAAGCTTCAAAATGGTTTTTGGTTGTTTTTTTTTTTACTTGTCCTCTAGAGGCTCCAAGGCCCATTGAAGTCCCTGAAGGAGACTGTGAAGCAGTAGTTATTGGTTGCTAACAAACAAAAACATTTCTCAGGTTTCCCCACTCTACCACATCAGTAGTGGACAAATGCTATCTCACCTTTGAGTAACGTAATGTAGTTGTCAAAATCCACTCCTCATTATGAAACCCTTTCCTCAGAAATGTCACACTTGCTATCAGTCCTGGAATGCTGATCTGAGCAAACACTGAAAAAAAATTAGAAAAATAATTACAAAGGGGTTTTGAATAGAATATACAGATTTGTTTTTTCTGCATTTCCAACCATTTTAATTTGTTCTTTGTAAACTTTCAGTATTTTTTTCAGATTAAGCCAGTAGTAAACAAAAGTTTCATGGGGCCTCATGAAAGTATATACTCAGGCACTGGATCTGCATGTCTTTTCTACAAATGTAAAATTATAGAACCTGTACTAGAAATGTTTGTTTCCTGCAAATTGAGTAAGAATATGCAGTTCTGGAGACCACACTATTCACTATTTGTGGAATAAATTGGCTTTTCTCATGACAAGTAGTTTGTCAACATCTCAAGCTCTTTAGCAATGTTCATTTATCACGGCTATCTAATGTTTTTGCACACTGAAGTAGATCAGCAAAGCACCAAGTCTATTTAGAATAACTGAATAATTCCCAAACAGTAGGGGGAGAAAAAAGTGGCACCTTATCAAATAAATAGTTTGTTACGTGTTACCAATGATCTTGTTTTGGCCCTGGTCCTGCAAAGGTAGAAACACACACCAGGGCTCACAGGAGCAGTTGGCGTCAGGGAAGCTGGTATGGTGAATAAAGAATTGCCACTGACGAGGAAGCAGAGTTAACCTAATGCTCCAGCAACAGCAACTCATATCACTTAGTGCTATTTGGAGCTAAAACATTCCAGGAATTAATCACTCAGACATGTTTTTTGCTGGAACAGCACTCAGTTACATGCTCTGTCTTCCTTCTACATAACAAAATACGTCCTTTTGACTTATGAAATCATGGATATTTTAACAGACATTAAAACAGATCTTGTTTCTCTGATGAATTTCCAGGGATCAGGTTTTGCAGATTGTGCCAGAAACATTTCAGCAAGTCCAGCATCTTCAGCATCTTTGCAGCACTTTACTGGTGAGTAAGAATAAACCATGTGTGCTCAAAAACCAGAGTGGGGTCTTGGGCTGTGAAATAGATTTGCATGTAAGTTGGGACAGGAATGAAGGTTAAAGTAAACATGAAAAAGCTTTACCAAACTTTTTTTTTAATTTGTGTAGGGTGGAATTGCCCTTTCAATACCTGAAAGAATTTATGGGAAGAAGTTAGTTTCCTTGCATGGCTCTGTGAAGGTGCTGCTTCTTATCAGTGGTGCCTGAGTCCATGGAAACACTGAGCCTGTGCTGCATGCTCTATGAACAGATGGCTGGAGTGGAGTTTAGGGGAAAATCTGAAGGAAAACTGTTTCCATTTATTGATATGCAGCTACTCTATCTTAAATATATTTTCTCATTCTGAAAACAGGGCTTGATTTGTGCATTTCTTTCTTCTCCTCTGCACAGCTGGATTTGTGGAAGCCCCTGCTGCCTGAAGACATCTGGGCTGGAGAAGACCTGCACATAAGGGTCCCAGCCCCTCTGGTGCAGGAGATAAAAGACAGCTTAGATCAGCATATGATCTCTTACAAGTAAAACCTCTAATTTCCTGATGGGAAAGGCTGGCTCTAACAATCTTCCTTGCTATCACAAAAGGACCTAGCCCTTTTCAATGAACAGTCAGCAAGTACTGACGATAGGACCCAACCTTTGTTCCAAGTGCCTCCAACTTACCTTGACCTGCCCAACGCACAGATACCTCTGAGTTTTAAAAGCACATTCCCCTATGCCCTGTTTATTCACCTTCCAACTAGCCTGGACTGTGAATTTGGAGCTGGGATCTGAGACAGCCCAATCTGTCTTGTTTCTTGCTGTTGCCTTCTCAGTGGCAGAGGATGGTACTCAGATATATGACTCAGTTTTTTAGTCTCAACTCAGGAAGCCAAATTTGGTATAACAACTACTTATAGGAGCATGCTCTGCTCTTGGAAAGCATGGATACTCGAACACAGGGTCCTCTCTATTTTGGAGAGCCCAAAGGTTTAACCAGTGTCACTGCAAAGAAGCAGTCTCTGTAGCTGCTCTTCTCCCTTCCCTGTCTTTTTGTTGCTCCTCTAGTTTAGAGGAGCCCTTTCAAAGTTGAATATTCAGCTAATTTCTTCAAAGCTGCAGTTTCCTACCCCTATTCCCTCCAGCAGGCTGGTGAGAATTTCCTGTCACCATTCAGCCAGAGGCATCCCAGCCTGGGATAAAGGTCCCAGTGGCAGGTCCCCACTGTGCAGCAACTGGGAGCCATGAGATGCAAATGACCCATGATGCTTTATCACACCTACCCAGCCACACATCTTCACTAACTGCCACGCTTCTGCTTCCAACCAGGAGACATAATCCAGATACAAAGAGTGTTTATAAAGCCAAATGGGATTAAATGAGATCTATTCCTCACACAGTCTCATTCCCATTTAGAACTGACTTTTTCAGGTAACCAGTAGCTAGCTATATTTCATGTAAACAATCCTGTAGTCATTCAGGGCTGGTGACAAATGGCCTATGGACATACAGTGACATTTACCAATCAAAGATAAGTTAAAGGAGGATTTGTGCCACTTTGTTTAGAGTTAAACCTGATCTTGACAGTCTGCATCTCGCCTGACAAATTCTTCTTAGTAAGTGTGATGCCCTGACAACCAGAGATGCAGAGAGATGAGGTGGGAGCCAGTACAAATGACCTAGCATCAGCTTTAAGTATTCAGGACTTAGACAACATTCCAGAAGATATTTAACCTCTTATTTATATCAGGACTCTTCATTTTCTAATGGTTTCAACTTATTCTAGTGGAAATTTAAAGACTAAACTGAAGTTAGCAACTTAATTTTTTAAAGTATTTTTTTCCCCCTTGGACTGGGGACAGAACTGAATCCACCTTCTGTAGGGTGCTAAAGAAAGAGGTGGGTAATTTAATAGTCAAGTAGTCAAGCTGAGGTTTTGGTTTTGTATTGCAAAAGGGTTGAGATGAGTACAGCAATGTTAGAGTTAAAATTCCTGTAACAAATTCAAAGCAGGAACCACCTTTTAAAAGGCAGTTGACATGCAAGGAAGGTAACATGACAGTTAGGTGTATAATGATAGAGACATAAATGACAAATTATAATCAGGACATCAATATTCTGACTGTGTCAGACTCTGGGATTTCAATTCTCCAGAGCTCTGATAAGGCATTTTGCGTGTGTGGTTTCAGTTCATGGGAATTCGCACTGCCTGAATTTTAGTCTGAAGTTCAGATGTGAATAAACATCAAAGCTCAGAGTGAAAGTCAGCTCTAACTACTCTTAGAAGTTTCTTATGTGCAGTTTCCAGAAGTGCCGCTCAGTGCTACTGTCAGCAGAACAGCCCATTAGCACTTCGAGTGTTGGAAACCAACACTGTCTGAGCTACCTTTGCAATTGTCTTATCGCAAGCACTTACAAGGAGCACAGATTTGTAACAGTGTTACAAGGGGCTGATTGCAGTGAGAAAGCACCCTGTATGATCCTCTGAAGTCAAGGAAAAGGTTTTATTGACTCCCTTGATCACGGAATCATGACACCCATACACTCACTTCTGAGCTAATTTGTAGGTAAAAAGCAAGAAGAGCTTTTTGAAGGAAAGGGGGGTTTTGCTCTAATTTTTGCAAAATGCAATGAATACTTCTGTGAAGTCTTTGTAATTGAAAATGTCTCCATAAAATACAGTGAAACACTAGTCTTAAATTTTTCACTCTTCCCTTCTTTTCCCAAAAGGTGGTATTTTAGAGTTTTGCCCAGAAGCAGAAGTGGTGAAGGAAAGAAAGATATTCAACATTTTTTTGTAGAAAATTGTCAATCATACTTTTGAAAAATATAGTAAAATTATTTATTTATTATTAAAACCCAGTAAAAATCTCAGTACTTTGAACTTTCTCTTACATGAAAGTAACCATTAAGCTGATGGTGATGACTTTGTCAAGGTAGTCCACAACAGAAGATGCTAAATCCTTTCATTTGTTGATGTAAGCAATGTAGCCACCATGATAGTTCTGCAGTAATTTTTACAGATTGTTTTGTTTATTTGTTTTCTATCTCCCCCTTTCTCCTCCCCTCAGAGTCCTAATACCTGATGTGCAGGAACTTGTGGATCAGAGCATGCCAAGGGAGAGCAGCCACAGGCAAGTCCCAGAAGGTTATGTCTACACCCAATATCACCCAATGGAAGAGGTAAAGAGGAACCCATGTCTGCTTGCTTTCTTTGCTGTGCTGCTTCGTAAATGTCACAGCAAGCAACTCTGTGCTTGCAGAAAGCTCAGCCAAAATCAGTGGAGCTCTTTCTGGATTTCTGCTTTGCAGAATCAGTCCTTACTCTTTGACTAGAATCTTAGCCTGGTTGAACTGAACATGAATGTGCCACTGATTTTGATTAAATCCTCAATTCCTGACCAAAACCTAAATGCTCTGTGTGAAGCAGTCATATTGTTTTGCAAACAATATTCTGGGGTTCAGTTGATTGGTTTGCTACCTTTCTACCCTATTAGGCTTTATCATTATCTCTAGTATTTATTCATTTATGTTTGATGCTGAGCCAAATGTTAAGTACAATGACTATTGTGATCTCTGGAATCCCAGTGAGGAAGAAGAGGTGAACAGTGGGAGACCTGTAGAAAGCAGTAATTTAAGGACAGGGTTTTGACACTTCACGAGAGAATAATGTCATGAGGGTTGGTAGTCAAGACTTCTTGGTGCTGAGTTTCACGGACCAGTGGGTGAGCCTGGACAAAGGCAAAGCATGGCGGTGTTCTTCCTCTTAGCCACATAGTAAGAGTGAGACAGTACTCATGTATACTTTGTTTGAACTACCCATTGGGGATGACTGCTGCTGAACTCAGATATGGAAAATCAGTACTAACAGGAGAGAGACTGTGACACTCTTTTGAAGATTTGATGGTGTGGCTCCATGTCTGGTGAAGTCAACAGAAAGATGCCCAATCGGATGGGCATGTTGAATGAGATCCAGAATAGAGTATCAGAGTTGTATTGCAGTGATGTTAACGCCCAGTGAGATATGACCATGCCTTTGCTCAGAGGCAAGTGAAAAGCCTTCCATAACTGTTAAGTGATATCACAAATTGAAATAAACTCTGAGGAAAACATTACTTGTCTAAGCAAAAGAACATACTTTAGTTCGGAAATGGAAGTGGAAAGAGGAGAAAACTCCCGCTTTGGACCAAGAATCCTCTGTGACTATTTCAGATTTATCAGTGGATGACTCAGATCCAGAAGAGCAACAGTGACCTGGTGACTCAGCACTACCTGGGGAAGACAATCGAGAATCGAACAATGTATTATCTGAAGGTAAGGGAGGAACTTTCTTAAAGGGAATAAAAGGTATCTTCACAAAAAAGTACACAAGAGAAGACAGGATTCAGATCCTTCCTAAGACAGTGTTCATCCCAACTAATGGATATAACAGGAGATGGTTTTATTCCTCTACAGTACAGTAAGATTTGCCAACTTTCATATACACTACCACCATAACCTTGCTACTGCTATTATGCACTGAAAACAAGACTTTAACTGAAGTCTTCTTCAGAAATACAAATCAAGCTGAAAGTAGCTTGGCAACAGCTGTGTGTAGGGATAAAGGAGTTTTGTTTTGTTGTTGTTATTACTTTTTACAGCTTACAGCCTTTCTGCTAGGAGTATTCCATGACTTTTTTTATGAGATGCTCTAGTAAAAACCATAGTCTAAATAATTCCGTTACTTATTGTCTAATCTGTTCCTATCACTGAGTAAAATTAGATTCCCTGTCTTTTTGTGCTTCCCCTTCTTAAAAAAAAATACTCCCAAAGTAAGAAAAACCAGTCCTATGAATGACTAATATAAACGAAAAAAAATGTTTTATTGAAACTCTTGCTCAACAGACACTTCAAAACTCTTGCTCTGCGATATTACAGAGATAGGGTTATTAGGAAGGAAAGCTTGTCATAATTATGTCTGTAATAATAATAATCTCAGAAGGCTCAACGGCATATCAAGGCACATTGTTTTCTTTCTGTACTATGCTAGGCTATTTTATTGTAACAGTTTTTCAAATGATCATTTTTACACTTTCTCAGATCAGCCAACCATCAGATAAAAACAAAAAGATCATTTGGATGGACTGTGGGATTCATGCCAGAGAATGGATCTCTCCAGCCTTCTGCCAGTGGTTTGTGAAAGAAGTGAGTCCTCACTTTTACACTTAGCTAATAAAAAACCATATAACATTGCATACTTCAGTTCTCTTCTCTAACGTGGTAGCAAGAATTATGGTTTTTCTGTTAAAAAATGATTTTCAAAATTAGTACATAGTACAGAGACCTGCAGAGACCTAACTCCAAATCACAGTCTGAGATGAGATATGGGACAATATTTGTTAGCACATTGTTTCCTCCACCTGAACCATTCCAAAGCAACGGAACTTGATAGCAATCTCTCATATCCCACAGTGGCTTTTGAATCAAGCCTCTTTGCATCACAAAGCCACAGTTCCCCTGGAATAAAGCAACCCTAAGATACGGTACAGCGATGTTCCATGTGTACTGAAAGTACTGGCACACAGTCACGCTATCGTGCAACTTTCACACCTGCTAGACTCCACCCATATGAAGTATGCAATTAGTGGATACACTGTCATTTTGTTAATGGCAAAAGGTAGATATCTCAATACATCCGGGGATCAAGTAGATCTTGGATACCATGGTGATATCCAGGAGTGATTAATTCCCTGATGATAGTTCTAAACTATCCAGTGATTACCACTAGATTCTCTGCTCAGTCCTCTGTGTTTTTTCTTTTCAGATTCTTCAAAATTACAAATCTGACCCAAAGATAAGCAGATTTCTGCAGAATTTGGACCTCTATGTCTTGCCAGTCCTCAATATTGATGGCTACATCTATTCCTGGGAAAAAGTAAGTAGAGAAAATCCAGGAACTAGATTGAAAATTAGATGTGCAAAGCATGCTTTGTTAATTTTAGATACAACCATAGCAATTACATTTAAACAGAGAAGAGTGACAGAATCATTACTCACACAAATCCTCTCATGGCAGAGAGGTTTTGTTTCTTCTGGTAAATTGGCAGTCACTTGATATTACAGGGATAAAAATTCCTAGCAAATGTCATGAGCCTTGGGAAGAGAGAAGGACAAAACCACAGGATCAGTCAGTTTCTTGGGAAGAGAGAAGGACAAAACCACAGGCTCAGTCAGTTTCAGGTTTCTGTGGATGGACTTACTTCCCTGCTTACAGCTCAAGGCTTGGTGGATGGAGTTAACCATGTCTGGAAGAGTCAGTCATTCTTTGCAAGAGATCTCAACTAGCAGATGGGTCTAAGCATCTCTGCAGCATGGGACAGGAGAGTTGGTCAAATATTGGGCTATTTGGTTTTGAAATAAGGGTGACCTTCAAAATAATCTTCCTTTTCTGATACGGAGGATAATGCAAAATATTGGTCTTCATCAACTCTCCTCATGCTTCCACACTCCTGAGCCCACTCAAAACACTTTTTAATGCAGGACCTCAGCATGGCCTGACAGGCTCAGCCTACTGCCATGTGTACCCTGCTGTCTCCCAGCTTGCTCCCTGGCAGGTTTGGGGCACACCACACTTTGCAATTGCATGCACAGGTAATTCAGCCAGGAAGCTCATACAGGCAGCACAGGGAGTTCTGCAGAGAACCAAGTATAGCAGTGCATGTAGCAAGGAACCAAGGAGCAGCAGTAAGATTAGCTGACAAAAAAGCATTCTTCTTGAATCTGAAACAAACACAAGTTCAGCTATCATCTCTTGGACACAGAGGTATCCCTCACGATGCCAAGTCTTCCTTAGGAGTGCAACACTGCATGGAAGCACAGAAAAAGCAGACTTTTTTAAAGTTCAGGAGGCTCATTTCAAGGGGCATGCAAGCTTGTGGAATATGGCAGCCTGGCTGTAGTAGATAAAATGTTCTATCACTAAGCTTTATCACCCCAGAGTTGCCGTCTTACAGAGCAAGAGTTACTCAGAACGCAGAGGTCTAAAATAACGGATTCTTTACACCATATTATCACTAGGCCCTCTGGATCACTGAGTTGTTATTATGTAACTGAAGTTACTTTTGTTTAGGATCGTTTGTGGAGGAAAAACCGTTCTCCACATATGAATGGCACCTGCTATGGGACAGATCTGAACCGAAACTTCAATTCCTCCTGGGGCAGTAAGTTCCAAGTACTTCAGATCAGCAACACAAATGTAATGCAAGAGTAAGAACTAGTCTCTGAAATAAGATGAAGTCCTATAAGAAAGGAATACTCATCTTGTTCTCGTCAAGACACATGTAAAAATAAAAACCTGGTTTGTAAAAATATTAAGTCATTTACTTTCAACTGGCATTTGTTTTTGTGAGCAGAAAATTGCTGCTTATGTAACTATACCTCTAATTCACTGCAGGAGCAAGCATCAGCTCTAGGTAGCAATGTCAGGAGGCAGTCACTTAACAGCCAGTATTTGTGTTTGCCATGAACTTCAGGGAGCCTCCAAAGCTTCCTTGGCGGGGGGTACACTGCGGTGGTGTCGGAGTGTTTTTGTTGCAGCCAGCCTGCAAATACGCATTACATATTTCAGTCGTGTAGCAAATTTTAGTTGCTCCCAACAGAGCGAAATGTTCAAGTCGCAGTGAGCTGTCTAGTCTCCCTGCCCACATAAAAACCCCACGGTAAATTTCCCTGTTCCCTCTAAAGTGGTGTTTATATGTCTCCTCTTTGATTCACTTTTTGTATTCCTCTCCAGGTATTGGTGTTTCTTATAACTGCAGCAGTGAAATCTTCTGTGGATCTGGACCAGAATCAGAGCCTGAGACAAGAGCTGTGGCTCAGTTTATCGAAAGGAAGAAGAGTGACATTTTGTGCTATTTAACAATTCACTCCTACGGACAGTACATCCTTACTCCATATGGTTCCACAACTAAACCTCCAAGTAACAGTGAAGAACTGGTAGGGCAAAACACTAATCTTCTACGCTTGTAGAGAACAAGTACAGGCAGTAGCATGTGGGACAACTCTATTTGCCCTCTTGCCTTTCCTTCAGAGGAGCTGGGCTTATGCAGGGGCTTGGCTCCCAGTATTTCTGCTGCTCCATACAGTAACAGGAAGGTTTATTTGCCTCAGAATTAATCCTAATCCTTCATCTTGAATCAGGAAAACTGAACTCTTACAGATAGGGTTGATATCTGTTGCAGTGCAAGGTAAGCAGAGAAGAGCACCAAGCTCGTGATGCATACAAGAACGCGTTTGCACTTCAGGATGCCAGCACATTATACACACATGGTTGTCATGATTGTGTCCAGAGAGGGTGTTCCGAATGTGCTCACCAGGAGAACCGGAGCAAAACAGGCACCTGCTTCTTGGTTACTTCTCAAGTTTCCAAGCATTCTAATTGAAGTTCATTAACATGTGTATTTATGAACATTCCAGTAGCTGGAGCACTAGTCAAGAGCATGAGAGACTTGGGTTCAGACTTCATACGAGTCACTGGAGAAGTCATTTCATCTGTCTCTGGCTCCATTTCTAAAGATGGTGGGATACAGAGTCTATGGCAATATAATAAGTGTAAGAGATCAATCGCTGCTGTAGTCAGTATCAGTATGCTATACAGCATAGACTCTAACTCCCCAAAATACAGCTCTCTAGCTTTACAACAAGGCCAATATCTTCTCTAACTATTAGCAGAGTCATTTTAAAGATTTGAACATAATTTGCATTAAAAAAATCAGGAACAATTTGCCCAAATGTTTGGAATGGGTTTCTCTAAAGTCCTGAACTAGTAATATCAAAACTTAAAGCTGATCATGTGTAAATGTAAAGCTGAAAGAGATAAAAATTTTGGTCTACTCAAAATAACTGCCACATGTACTGGCACTGATGGCAATGCTATTCCTATCTTGAACTTACAGATGCATGTTGCTGAGAAAGCAGCTGCTGCCCTGATGGGAAAGTATGGGACCACATATGAAGTAGGATCAACCTCTTTAATTTTATGTAAGTTTCTTTATGTTTCCCTTTGATTGCTCTGTTTGGCAAAGAAGAGAGTCATTCTTGTGTCACAGGCATCAGTAAGTATTGGTATGCTGAGTTTCCTTTTTGAGTAATATTTAATGGGCTGGTTCAGTGGAACATCTAAGTAGCAGTCGTTTCAATACAAGATAACACTGTATGTTATAAAGCTGACTGCAGGAAGGAAGGAAGCATTGATCAGAAGCTAGTTCCTACATGAATTCCTCACAGATACATCACAGGGGACAGAAGGAGATTGGTGATAGATCATCCTGACCCTGCTGAAGTCAGCAGCAAAACTCCTATTTGTCTTCACTGCAGTCAAGCAAAAATTAAAATCCCAATCAGGTCTATAGATACTCCATCAGACATTATCACATGGCAGCTGCTTGCAGTTCTGTGTGAAATATGCTGTTTTCAGCCTTGTTCCTAATAGCCTGGATAGCCTCACCACGAACACACCATCACAGCTGACACTAGTCGACAGCCTTTATGCAGAGGACCAGAGGGCCCTAGAAACCGCCTGGTAAACCCAACCTTTCTCAGTGAGCAATGTCACACTAGTCACTCAGAACAGTAAGTAGCTGGCTCCGGTACTGAGGTGGTTTTGCATATTCACAGCAGCTGTCTGTGCCAGTCCCTGAGTCACACAAATCACCTACTGCATGAGCAATATGGTCAAAGTATAAGGTAACTGGTCCATGCCTAGGACTGCAGTTTCCAGGGTTTGTGCTTATACTGGCTGGGTAAGAAAAAAGATCCATGAGGCAGATGAACAGTGATACACAGAGCAGACAGAAATTTTTCAGACTTGACCAGAATTATGCTTAAAAACAAAGAAATTCCAGGCAGCACCAATGTAGGAAATGAAGTGCCAGAGCAGACAAATGGCCAATCCATCTTGTACCCCATGCTAATCACAGCAAAATGCTAAAAACACAGACCCCTTGGAACTCATCTCCTGTTATTGTACAGGACTATCTTACCAAGGATTTTTTCACTTAGGAAACTTCATGGAAGACTTTCAGTATAATTAAGAATTGCAGCACCTAGAAACTCTGCTCTCCATGTCACAGTGATATACGGTTACTGCTTAGTTCAGGGATTCTGGTAGAATCTTGCATTAACTATAGCAAGAAATATTTTCAAAGAACCATGCTTAATATATCTACCTCCCCTCTATTTTTAAATTCACAGACAGTAATTCAGGCTCCTCACGGGACTGGGCTCACACGATTGGCATTCCTTTCTCCTACACCTTTGAACTACGAGATAAGGGTACTCATGGGTTTGTCCTACCCCCCGACCAGATCCAACCCACATGTGAGGAGACGATGTTGGCTGTGACAACTATCATAGACTATGTTGATCAGAAGTACTTCCCAGGTGGGGGTGTGGTGCTGACCTCTGGAAGCCTGGGCCTGAGCCTCTGCCTGAGTGTTGTACTTACATGGACAGTTTCTTAAAAACGGCCTAGAGAACCCAGCAAGAGACTCCTGTGCAAAGTATAATTTCCCTTCGAAAAGACAAAATTACATGACCAGAGGAACAAAATGTCAAGTATTTCAATAAAGACTCATCCCACAAAATACAAGCAACCACTTGTGGTTTTGATAGCTGTGTTTTAGGGAAGGTGGAAAGGATGAAAAGCTGTAGCAATTTCCCAGTCTTCACTTGCTGGATCTGCAAGAAGCCAGCTCAAGTACGCACAGGGACAGAACATTATTACTACCTGGTTCTTGAGCATGTTTTCAGGGGCTCACCTGGGCCTATGCAGTCCTTCTGTCAGCTACACCCCTGCTCTCTCACAATTCTCCCAACTGCCTGACCCTGCTGACTCCTGGGTCTTGCTGGCACTAGCTGGACACCTGTGAGACTTGAACATCCCCAATTCCCACTACAGAAAACGGGACAGCTTCCTTGACATCCACCTTCCTTTCCCAAACTGCTACATTGGGATTGACCAGAACATACAGTGCCTCGAAAGCTGGTGAAAGGTTGTAATCAGGCAACCATCAACAGCAGCCTGAAATAAGCTGAAGAGTTGAGCTGGTGCAAGCACGTGGGGACAGACAAGAAGTGTTGCCCTGTCACTTAGATGCAGTCAGATTAGTGAAGATAGAAACTGCCCAAATCCTTCAAAAACACAAAAGGGAAAGGGGAAAGGAAGATGAGGATGGGGCACTATTCCTGCAGAGAAGACCAGAGAGTGATTTCTTTGTATCCTCACCTTCCAAAACTGTGTGACTGGTGGTGACAAATATCCTCCTAAAGTCAGACTCCTAAGGGATTTCATTACAGATGGTGTGTAAAGGAAGTCTCTTTAAACAGAGGTGCTCTTCTTAGAAACCACCTTAATCCTTTGGGGATGACTCTGCAGGACTGAGGCCCAGTTGCATGGTTCTCCATCACTTGGGAGAGCCTGCAGCCTGCAGGGATCTGCTTGGGATCCTCATGCAAAGCTGGAAGCTCAGTGGAGTGCCAGAGGAAAGGAAATGTTTCAGCTCATTGAGCAGGGACCCTCTGCCTGAGCCACTCAAAAGGAAACACCAAGAGTTTCTGTATTGTTACAGCCAACACCAGAGGGTGCAGGGCATTCACTGAAATAGAGAAGACTTATTTTAACCTGTACTCTGCTTCTGAATCCAGGAGTCCTGCATCCCAGAAATATGTCCACCAGGCTTGGCTATTACAGATAATAGGATAAATTATTTTTTTTCCTGACATAAAATGAAAGGGAAAAATAAAAAAGAAAAAATTATTTTGTATTAAATGTCTGATTTTCTCAGCAAATTTCAAGATTCCACTTGAAAACTGAAAGTGTTCTAACCAGAGATTTTCAACAAAATATTTCCAGCTTTGGGGAAGAGAATGCTTTTTTTTCCCCCCTGACTGCTTGAAGGCTAGTGATGGCAAAGGCAGATCAAGAGCTTCTGCCAAAAACCTCACAGATAAAGGACATTGAGAGGACTGAAATAATACTGCCCTCAAGTTATAAAGTAAAGCGAGACTCAGTGACTTGACTAAGATCTCATAGAGGGTCTGTGGCAGAACTGGTAGAATTATTTTGTCCAGTTCTCTTCCAGTGCTGCCAAGAGAAGGATGCATATGACCTGACCATGGTACTGTTAAAAAAAATAAATCACAAATAACAACCTGGCAGTCATTTGTCCAAAGGACATCTTATTGTCGTTTTGTCTGTACTGTTAGCTGACAAATCTTAGCTCCTGTGTGCATTGTCCACAGATTATTACCAAGTGGCGTAGCTAAATCTGCCTAACTCCCACAGGTTCCCCAGAGCATAGTCCTTCCAGACCAACCACTCATTTACAGTAAGACCCGTCTGTTGCTGGGCTCTGTAGCAGAAGGTGTCACTAATTAGCACTTCTCCCCACAGGAGCATCATTCTCCAAACTTATGTTTAGTTTAGGATATGACTTGTAAGTCTTTATATTTGTATTTGTCTATTGTGTCTTTGGAACTGTAAGAAACAAACCAAGTCCATCTAGCCCATGACTGAGCTGTTTGACCACGAGTGTTCCACAGCCATTTTCATGTGAGGAAGAATTTCTTTGCTGAAAGGATTCTCAGGCATTGGAACAGGTTTCCCAGGGCAGTGGTGGAGTCCTCATCCCTGGAGGTATTTAAGAGTCGAGTAGACATAGTGCTTAGGGACATGGTTTAGTTGAGGACTTGTCAGTGTGAGGTTAATGATTGGACTCAATGATCTTAAAGGTCTTTTCCAACCTAGGCAGTTCTGTGATTCTGTGTGATTCTGTGAATTGCTGGCAAATGGCAGTGAAGCTCCCCAGTGCCACCAGCAGCAGAAGGCAGTGCCCTCTGAGGACCAATGCCCACACGCTCACCTTGCCAAAGCCAACTCAAGCTTGGGCTGGCACCAAGCCCTTTCCAAAACTAACCCATGACTACACTGTACAAAAATGCTGCCAGCCAGGGCTTCTTTACTGGATTCAGATGTATTGCACAGCCTATACACCTAGAGTCAGAGGGGAAAGGTGTTGGTTTGGCTGATCTTGGGTGTCTTTTGATAAAATTGTTTACCAATACAAGATACAACCAGATGTGTGCCAAGGTTAACTGGCAGGTCTCTGTGGACTGTCTCAGTTCCTCATCAGCTCCTCTTGTTGTAATTACCACCACCATGCAGGGGAAGATGCCCCTGCTCATGGCACCTAGGCAGGTGGATCAGGGGAGATTTTGCCTCCAGCACTCACAGCATTCAAGAAGCAGAGATGAAGACTTCACCAGAAAAAAATAAGATATTTGGCAATAATTGTTATTTAGAAGAATGCTTGCTGCTCTCAGCACACTGATCATGCCCGGGCTTACAGCTCCTTGGATCACCCACTTCGTATAGTGAAACCACAAATGAAGGTTGTGTGGAAGCAGCACCTTGCCCCCATTGTCCTACGAAGTCCTGCAACGACTGCTTACAGCCCCTTTTAGGAACTATCACTGCACAAGCGAGCCATAACCGCTAAAAGGCCGAGGCTGTAGCAAATTGATCTTTACAAACATTACATGGGCTCTGTATTTCACACATCCTCCCAGTTTGACGACTTCTCTGTGTACCTTTTGTGCTCATAGAAGAGTGATATGTATGGTGACAAAAATCACTGCAGAGAGGGTGTATTTTATCAACCACATTTTGCAAAGGAACATTTTAAAGAAAAACATGGTATGGATGTCTCTACTGAAACTCCCCTTACTTCATTAATCCGTTGCCTGGTTTTCTCTCATCTGCATTCCTTTGTTGCCCTCTCTGGCCCTTGCAGGGTTTTGCTTTATGATGATGTACAGAAAGAGCCATGTTATGATTTCTTGCATGTTAGCAGGAGCACAGCATTATCCTACTGAGACAACAGTGTGACTTTCGATTTACTCATGTGTAAACACATGCTAAACTTCTATTCATTGTTGTTTCTCCCCAATAAATTTACCAAAACCATGCCACTTCCCTTTCTTTCTCACAGTTAAACACCCCAATCATGCTTGCTTTATTATATAATTAGTATTGCAAAGGATTAATTACTTTTGGTCATTTACGTTACTGAATAACAACAAGGGCATCCCAGCTCTGAGTAACAGTGTTCTATATTATCCTTGCTAACATTTTGTCTGTAATACAAAAATAAAGATTGAAGAAAGGGCCATCAGTGACCTCATTCCATTTCAGGCAAGGAGCTCCCTCTCCGTTGATTTCTCCTCCATGCTATGTTAATTTGATACAGTCCTCAGGCTCCTAACAAGTTAGCAACACTGCCCTCATTAAGGAAAGTGAAGATATCACCAGGGAACTATAATATTAAACGAACGTGTGTAACCTCATTTCTTAGAGCATCACATGATGGAAGAGCAAAAACCTACAGTTTTGAGGGGAGTGTGGAAAACACCTCTGTCAGTTGTTACTTCCTGATAAACTGCTTATGCTCCAGAAATCCACTCAAACATTCTTTTGTGCAGATTCTATTCCCAGTAAAAAACTCTCAGACTCTTAGACTGTGCATGAAAATTGGAAGCAGTCTTAATTGGAACAAACCTGCTCAGACACACAGAAAGATGTTCTCAGTGTGTTCCAGATATTATTGTAGATGGAAACATATTGATTTATGACAGCTGAAGACGCAGCCATTGTGTCCCAAATCCCTCTAGCCAAAACTCCCCTTTTCCCAAAGTAGCCTGCAACCTACTTCAGACAGAAGGGTCAGGCTCTGAATGGGAATCAAAGTATCCTGAGCTGGTCTTGGGTTCCCTCAGCCTACAAACTGTAGGTATTCATGCTCCTGAATTGTCTCATTTCCTGTGTCTTCTTTGGCTTCATCCAGAGCTGGGTTTTCTTGACTAGATGGGATGTCCAATTATACCACCTACAAAAATCACAGCAGAACCCATTGCTTTGATGAGACATGCTGTGCTCACAATTTCTTTCCACATAAATGGTTGGGCAAGGCTGCTTTGTTTTCATTACCACTAAGCCTAGAGGGGACCAATAATAAGAAAAATAAACAGAGATTATGACTAGGCATTAAAATTAGCCAACTTGGGTACTCGTAATGCAAATCTTGTCTAAAATGCGTTTTTTACTTCCTGCATCCTCCTTCCAAGGAATCTGGATGATCCTCGTTGGTATAAAATATAAAGGAATAATTTGATGACAACCTGTCATCACTTGCTCCTGTCTGCCAAATCTCATGGTGTCTGTTTATGTGCATGGTAGGCATTCATAAAACCAGCTTCTTTTCTGCAAGTTGGCAAGCAACATGAGTGTCCTCTTCACAAGGCATCCAGGGGCAAGCAGAATGAGCAAATGCAGCATCATGGTCACACCTCCTAATTCACCTCAGTATATTGACCCAAGGTACACCCCATCACAGCTGTGCTCTGTTGTGTCAGAATGCCTCAAATGAAGGCAATGTAATTTAGGGAGAGGTGGTTAGGACTGCAT